GCCGATGCTGGAATCTGAGATAACACAGTGTGGAGCTGGATGAACACCGCAGGCCAGGCAACATCAGAGGTGCAGGAAAGCTGATGTTTTGGGTCAGGACTCTTCTTCAAAAAGGTCCCCATCCGAAACATCAGCTTTCCTGCTCCTCTGATGCTGCCTGGCCTGCTGTGTTCCTCCAGCTCCACACTGTGTTATCTCTGACTCCAGTATTGGCAGTTCTTACTATCCCTGATTTTTCAACTGTGTTATCCAGTTCTAGCAATATATGGGTATCATGTTTGACTCTGTGAATAAACATAAGATTGAGTAAATGTGAACTCCAGCATTATCCATGAACCGGATTTCCAGATTCTAACAGAGAAAGACCAATCAGTGGAAGATGATCTGGGAGATGATTGAGTTATAGACATTTTGGGAAGTTGATGGACTACATGAAAGAGACTTGTTAGAGATGAGCAGAACTGTGGAGGATTTAGCAACAACACAGAGCAGTGTAGAGTTTAGTTGTGATACAGGTTGGTGATAGATGGAGACTGCTAATGATTTGGAGTAGGAATGATAGCAGAGGATTAGATTAGTTAAACTCAAGTCTGGTGTGTTTTGTTTACAGCAGTCTCCACTGTGTGAGTGGTATTTGGCAGGATGATATAACTGTTTAAATGGTATACAGAATATTGTTCATCTCCAAATCCTGCCACACACTTGCCCCACTCCTGGAGACCTACTTGGTAGTTTTTCTGCAGTTTTCTAAATACCACTGTAGTGATATGGAAGATTCTTTGTTGGGAGCCACAGAGAAATCTGCAGCCACTGCATTGTATGAAGATATTTTGAGATCCAGCACTGATAGAAGGTTTAAACCTTTTGTGCTGGTCTTATCTGTTCAACGCTAACTTCTAATTTCTGACTTCTGACTTTCCTGAGTTTTAATCTTCAGTACTAATTTTGTTTCCTTTGTACATATTCACCACATGTAACTATTTGTTACATATTCAGCAACATTGTCATGTTAAAGGATGGTTGCAGTCAATTTGATTGAGTCTATAATTCAGTACAGTTTGATTTTTGTCCATGTTCATGCATCAAATTCTTTGAAAACAGACTACAAAGAACGATTTGGAGCAGCGACGACCACAGCTCGATGCTATTTTTACTCTGGCTCAGAACCTGAAAAATAAAACGGGTGACCTGGAGGAGCGAGCTTCAATTACTGAACGATGTAAGTGAAGTTCCTCCACAAATAACTGTAAAATATGAAACCGGAAATTGTGTTTGAAATGATTGCAGCATTGTTACCTGGTGGTTTGAAAAATATGATATGCTTCAGCTGTTTGATAGCAATTATCTACATGATACCTGTTAGAAGATGTACGGAGATCCAGGCATTGCAGCTTCCGGAAGTGAAGGCATGCTTGACTTTGGTGCTAAAAGTTGTATAACGCTGATACAAGGGAACTAAAATAACAAAGCAGTGAATGAGTGTAGGTCAGATTACTATCATGTTCCCAAACTGGGTTTATGTATGATCTCGGAGCTGGCGTCGGCCATTCAGCCCCTCAGTCTAGCTTCACCATTCAGTAAGATCATAGCTGATCTTTTTGCAACCTCAAATCCTCATTCCTGCCTACCCCTGATAATCTTTCAACTGCTTAGTAATCAAGAATCTGTCTTCCTCTGATTGGAAATATTTGAGGATTCTGCTTCCACTTCCTATCAGGAAGAGAGTTCCAAAGACTCGTAACTCTTTGTTTTTTTTTGCTTCATCTCTGTTTTAAATGGATGATATCTGGTTTTTAAACAGTGACCTCTCGTTCTAACCGAAAGAACTGCGGACGCTGTAAATCAGGAACAAAAACAAAGTTGCTGGAAAAGCTCAGCAGATCTGGCAGTATCTGTGAAGGAAAAAACAGAGTTAATGTTTCAGGTCCGGTGACCCTTCCTCAGCTCTGAGGAAGAGTCACCGGACCTGAAATGTTAACTCTTTTTTGCCTTCACAGATGCTGCCAGACCTGCTGAGCTTTTCCAGCAACTTTGTTTTTGGACCTGTAGTTCTATATTTATCCACGACAGGAATCATCTGCCCAAATCTGCCCTACCAAAACCCTTCAGGGATCATGTATGTTTCTAAGTTTGTTGTTTGCCGGTTTAAGAAAGTTTTTTTTTGTAGCATCAATCACACGAGAATGGCAGTAGTGATTAGTGACAATGTGCTTTTAAATGCAGTATTTCAACTTCCTGTATGTACTTACCTCCTTTTGATGTTTCTATGCAGTGGTGAGGGTGCAAAACCAATGGGACAACACACAGCACGGATTGGAGGCGCGGCAGCAACAGCTGGAAGAGTTGCTCAGTGACAGCATACAATGGGAAGAGGACTTGCAGGCAACTGAACGAATGGTCGGTCAGAGTGAAATCCGCCTGCAGAATGTGCTTCATGTCACTTCAGAGCCACTTGCCCCACAGCTGGCAGAAAGCAAGGTAACTTGTTGGCCTTCATTGTGAAGTGGTTAATTGACTGAGTCACATAATGTGGTATATTGTAAATTTCAAGAGTCTGTCAGCAGAGGGAGCATCTTGACCACTGTAGACTGTGTTATGAACCCTGTGGAGACTGATAACTTTTATAGTTAATTGCTGGATGAATGGTACAAGATTTTACATTTAACAAATTTCTTGTAACAGACTAAAAGCACTGGTGACTAAACATTTGTAGACAACTGATACTTCAAAACATAAAACAAAACTTTTAACACAAGGAAATAGCACATGGAAATAACTACCATCAGGTAAATATTGCATTGTCCTTAAAGTAGACATTTAATTCTTCCAGAATCAGTCCAAAATTATTCTTAATTCCCAAAGGTTTACTTTTATTCTACTTTGTTTTCAGCTGGTAACTTCTAACTCCAGAGCTGCCCTCCATAGTGAGAGTATTACTGGAAATCCTCCCTGCAATGTAAACTAGGTTAATGTTGTTAGGGTCTGGAATGATCTATCTGTTGGTGTGGTGGAGGCAGAATCACTTGAGTAGTTAGGGTCTGGAATGCAGTATCTGAAAGTGTGGTGGAGGCAGATTCACTTGGGTGGTTAGTGTCTGGAATGTACTGTCTGAGATTGTGGTGGAAGCAGGTTCACTCATTGGTTTCAAAAGGGAAATAGACTAAAAAGGAGCATTGTTTGGGGTAACATGGAGAAGGTAGGAGAATTGATGCTAAGGGAAATACTCATTCAGAGAGCCTATGCGCACACAGTTGTTCAAATAGCCCTCCTGTGCTGTAGCAATTTTGTGATATTTATTTTGAAATGATTAAAATGTTCAAATTCTATTCATCAAACCAAATACCAAATTAAACTCTCATTTCTACTGCTACAACACGTTTTGGATCAGTTCAAACAGCAGTATGTACCAAGAATATGAAGAGAGCAAAGGAGCACTCTGCCCATTTCATACTAATTCATCTACATTGCAGTGGTTGAGCCACATGTTATGTGAGAAGATCGAAGTCCTTCGAGTAATGTTTCACAGACTCCTAACGATGGAAGTGGATCACAGCTACAATCGCCACCTATTAATCCCTGCAATAAGCTATTAGTCTGATGGAGCAACTTTTTGTTGAACTGCACAAACTGATAGAATTTCAATAATTTTGGTCCCCACATGTGTTGCTGATTCTGGTTGTGAAGGTAGTTAGCAGATTATTAAATTATTAAAACAAATGGAAAATATTTTCTGCTGTTTGCTTCTGTGATGTTATGAAAAGCGTGGCTAACTGCCCCAAGGCCATACTGTGGTGTTCTTTCGAGACTGTATATTAATCTCCTTGAAACATTGATAACTAGAATATAACATTGACAGTTTGATTAGTGATCTTGTGCATTTGTGTTATTTATTGTACAAAGGTCATTGCTTATAAAATATTGCTGAATAGAACTGTAGTTCTCATTTGGGATAAACGAAGAGTTGAATTTGGTGCAAAAGCTGATTATGGTTTGCTTCATTCTTTAACCCTTTGTAATTAACTTGCAAACATGATTTTATATATTGGTTAACAATTTTGTTATACTCAGCTCACTGAGGAAATTGCCTTCCTCCCCACTCCCCCAGGACACTGATAAATGTTCAGATTAATGTATGTCACGCGATGATTGAGTGAATGACAGTTGTGACTAGTGCCCAGAAGACTGTTCCGTCTTAGGAAAAGTGCAAAATGTTACTCTTTTTGAATATTGTTTCCCTTTCTGAGTGAGCAGAAATTAGTTAAGAATTGCAATCGTAGCTATAACATATATCTGAGAGAGAAGTGGTAGTACAGGGAGGACAATATAGACATAATTCTAAGCATGTTTGTGCTTTGGATCAAACTGTATCTGTGTCTTGTACTACTCTTTTTCAGCAATTCTTACAAGAATTACACAAAGGGCAGTTTACAGTGGCTGCATTCAAAGACTTATCCAGTAAACTTCTCCGGGAGTATGCAGCAGATGATACTCGGAAGGTGAAAGAGGTTACAGACAGCATTAATACATCCTGGAATAATATCAATCAAAGGTGAGATGAGATGATTTGGCAGACCAGGATCAAATTTTGTGTGTGTGTATAGTTTAGATATTTCATCTTTACCCAGTTATTTTCTCTGCCTTCAACTAATTGTTTTTCCCTGTGCTTTTTTGCCTGAGAGAGCTAATTGACAGGTTGGTCCTTGAATGTGAAGCTACAATACTATCCAACTGTGTTACTATCCGTGAACTGGCTGATCAGGAATTTCTTTTCACCTGGTCTTTTCTCAGTTGTTCTGTAATGCAGTTAAAACACAAATTACTATAAATGTAAAATAAAAACCGAAATAACTGCGGATGCTGTAAATCGGAAACAAAAACAAAGTTGCTGGAAAAGCCCAGCAGATCTGGCAGTATCTGTGAAGGAAATAACAGAGTTAACGTTTCAGGAACCGGTGACCCTTCCTCAGAACTGTTCTGAGGAAGGGTCACCGGACCCGAAACGTTAACTCTGTTTTTTCGTTCAGAGATGCTGCCAGACCTGCTGGGCTTTACCAGCAACTTTGTTTTTGTTACTATAAATGTATCTGTGGACATGAATCTTTTCACTGCAAGGTGCAGTACATTTGGGAAGGATGCACTCGTATAGTGGTTATGATACAGGCAGTAGTAATTCTGAGGTCTGGGCCAATAATCCAGCTTTGGAGTTTAGTTCCCACTTGGTCAGTGGAGAATTTGAATTCAGTTAAAAACAAAATATGGAGCTAAATAGGTGTACCAGTAAAAATTGCCATATAGCTGTCAGATTGTCATAAAATCTCGCTCTATTGCATTTGCTAAATGATCCTGAAATTGCAAAGAATTATGCTGAAAGCCGATTTAGGATCCTCAGGCAGGCTTGCACATACTGGAAGCTACATTTACTAACACACAGGATCCTGTTCTTTGCAGTTGGAAACCTACATGCACTACATTCATTTCAGTCAACAAAATAGGTGACAACCATGGTCTGTTTTATTTCTCAGGACAATGTCTTGATTAATCAGAGTCGAACTGCCTGTTTTAAAATTTAAATAACTTAGTTAACTGTCAATTACCATCAAACTGGTGTATTCGATATGGTAATGCCTGTACCACATAGAGTCCACTTGACAACCAATCTGCGCTGCCCTGTTGTACAGTATGTTATTTTCTCTTTGCCTCGCTATTCTTGCAAATAGCGCCAATGAGGGCAAGAGGAGAAGCCTCGACAAAAAACATCTGTTTACAGCAATGCTCAAGAACAGTGCTAACAAATAACTATTTGTATACCATATCATTGTGACATTTAATAATTGGGGGAGATGTGAGAAACTATATCTTGCAAGAAAGTCTCTTCTAGTTGGACCAGAAGTGGCTGTCCTCATCTACACTAGACCCCATGGAATCTGGAGTGAAAAATACCTCACAGGTATTGGTGGCAGCATATACAGTATGATGTGTAAATTCACACACAATGCTTAATCATGTTCTTGTAGATTGTGGGCAGGATCTGGATTCATGTGATGAATTACCCATTGCAGAATTCCTAATCCTTGACATGCTTTTATAACCCTGGTATTCATATGACTGGGCCTAGCCCTTCAGATGTTAATAGTGAGGTTTCAGTGATTACAATTATTGCGAAGTTGGCTAGCATGCTCGTGGATTGGGAGGCAGGGAGTTAGAATTGGTTTTTGTAAAATGTAAAGGGGGAAAATCAGTGTGTGGTCCCTTTAAAAGATGATGTGCTTTTTCCATGCTTAGTGATTTAAAAAGGATGTCTATGAGCAGCTTGTGGGTTTGCAGGTGCAGAGAAAACACTCAAATTGAAACATTTGTATCAAAAAGCTGTACAGTTAGCAGACCAAGCACCAGTTTTGTTTTGTTATCAAGACAACAAGTTTTGAATTTAGTCAATTAATTTGAATCAGACACTTAGAGACTAAAAATCAATTAAATTTAAATCTGCTGGTTTTGACAACATGGGACCAATCCTATTGTAAGAAATTAATATGTCATCAAGGGTATAAAAGGAGAGGGCAGTTGGAAAATCAGGAAAGCGCACTGCCATCTGCAAGAGTTAACACCTCTCAGCTCTCAGGAGAGAATCACCCGCTCTCAAAGACTTCTCTAATTTTTGGAGAAAGCACCATCTATATGAAAGGTATCTATGACACAAGTAGTTAATGTTTCTGACAAAAGAATTCGACAGAGAAGGCGTCCTGACAGAAGAGTTGGTCGGAGAAGACCCAGAACATTCCGGAAGACACGTAACCTGTCTGTAATTTTGAGAGACTAAATTCTTCTTTTAAATTTTATTTATATAAGTGGAAGTTGTATTTATTCAACAGCATACCAGTAGAATCTTGTTTTATTTGGGAATAGTTAGTAGTTAGGGGTTTATTCGGTTTGTTAATAATTTAGTTAGTTTGTTCACTGTTAGAGTTAGAGAAATAAATTGTTAAAGTAAAGTGAGATTGGAAAGTGAGTGTCAGGGGTTTATTTTATGTAACCACTAGAAGTTGCGGAAAAGCAGTTTACACCACTTTTCACACTGCTTTTAACAGATTATATAGGGTGAGGTGCTCCTCCCTAGGTGTTTCAGTTTTACTTATTAGTGGGGGGGGTGTCAACCTCCACTTTGTAACAGACTGGGGACTCATCCAGGATTTGGATGGATTTGGACAGATTTAGGGTACAAAAGGTCTTAGAATCATAGAATCCCTACAGTGTGGAAACAGGCCCTTCGGCCCAATAAGTCCACACCGACCCTTAGAACATCCCACCCAGACCCAGCCCCCTAACCTAAACATCCCTGAACACTATGGGCAATTTAGTATGTCCAATCCACCTAACCTGCGCATCTTTGGACTGTGGGAGGAAACCGGAGCACCCGGAGGAACCCCACGCAGACACGGGGAGAATGTGCAAACTCCACACAAGCAGTCGCCCAAGGGTGGAATCGAACCCAGGTCCCTCGTGCTGTGAGACAGCAGTGCTAACCACTGAGCCACCATGCCTCCCAGCAGATTTAAACAGGCTTGTGGACTAGTGTCCTAGATCTTTAAATAAAACTCAGCTGAGAAGTGGAAAATCTGTTTAATTTTGGTTGCTTGTTGTTGGTTAAATCAACAGTGGGGAAATTGCTCTTAACATTGCGAAAGAGGTTTTAGCCATCAAAGATGCTTCCCAAATTTGTCAAGGAAGTTTAGAAAGACAGAGAAAGGGGCACTTTTAGAATTAGCAGACAGGCTAGAATTGGGCTTAGGGATAAGAAGTAAGCTGAACTTGTAACGGAGTTAGGTAGGCATTTAAGTATATCAGAGAATTGGTATCAGAAACATATAAACAATGGTTCAGAAATGCAAGAAAGGAACCGGGCCACACTTGTATCGCATTTGAAAGAATTAAACAGAGCAACTTCGATAGATGGATGAGATAGATTAAAGATAGAAAAGACATATGAAGCTCTTAGAGATTTATTTTGCTGGAAGAGTTTAAAAACTCACTTCCAGAAATGATAAGAACTCATGTTGAGGAACAGAAATTTAAAACAGCGAGAAGAGCTGCCAAAATGACGGATGAAAACTCATTAGTGCAGAAATTGAAATCTAGCTTCCGACAGCAATTTCATTCAATGAAGGATAGAAATTGGGAAAGAGGGAGATCCTTCAATGAAAAACAAAAGGTAGATCACACTGGGGACAGTTTTCCACATGTGAAAAAAGAAACCCAAGAAGCTGAAAAAGAGGTGAAAGACCTCAAGTGTATTCACTACAATAAAGTGGGACACACAATGTCACAGTGCCGGTGGCTTAAGAGAGGCACTGGGAGAAAAGGATGTGGTAAAAGAATTTAAACCAGTGGGATTAGTTGAGGTAGTGAAGGAAATCCCAAAAGAAGTTGAGGAGCTGCAGGAGAGTGTATAGCCTTGTATTGGGCTGGATAGTAAGATAGCACCCAATCTTTTCAAAGAGTTAGAGATAGTCGGAACTGCTGATGCTGGAGTCTAAGTTAACAAGGTGTCGAGCTGGATGAACACAGCAGGCCAGGCAGTATCAGAGGAGCAGGAAAGCTGACGTTTTGAGTCTGGACTCCCGGGGGAGGGGAAGGGGGCTCTGAAATAAAGAGAGAGGAGGGGGAGGTAATGATAGAAGGTGGATAGAGGAGCAGATAGGTGGAGAGAAGACGGACAGGTCAAGGAGGCAGGGATGAAGCCAGTACAGGTGATTGTAGGTAAGGAGTTGGGATGTGGGTTGGTCAGTGAGGTGGGAGGGAAGACGGACAGGTCAAGGAGGCAGGGACAAGATGGGCTGGTCTTGGGATGAGGTCGGGGGTGGGGAGATTTTGAAGCTTGTAAAGTCCACATTAAGAACATTGGGCTGCAGGGTTCCCAGGCAGAATATGAGGTGCTGTTCCTCCAGCCTTTGGGTGGTGTCGTTGTGGCAATGGAGGCGGCCCAGGATGGACATGTCGTCCAAAGAGTGGGAGGGGGAGTTGAAATGGTTCGTGACTGGGAGGTGTTCTCGCTTGTCACGAACCGAGCGTAGGTGTTCCACAAAGCGGTCTCCAAGCCTCCACTTGGTTTCCCCGATGTAGAGGAGGCCACAGCGGGAACAGCGGATACAATAGACCACAGTAGCGGATGTGCAGGTGAAAACATCTGTTTAATGTGGAGGGTTTTCTTGTGGCCTGGGATTGAGGTGAGGGGGGAGGTATAGGGGCAGGTGTAGCCCTTCCTGCGGTTGCAGGGAAAGGTGCTGGGGGTGGTGGGGCTAGTGGGGAGTGCGGAGCGGACGGAGTCGCAGAGAGAGTGGTCCCTCTGGAAGGCAAATAAGGGTGGGCAGGCAAATATATCCTTGTTAGTGGGGTCAGATTGCAGGTGACGGAAGTGGCGGAGAATGATGTGTTGAATCCGGAGGTTGATGGGGTGATACGTGAGGACGGCATGGTGGCTCAGTGGTTAGCACTGCAGCCTCACAGCGCCAGGGACCTGGGTTCAATTTCACCCTCGGGCGACTGTCAGTGTGG